TCTAGTGCTCATTGTCTCAGCCTGGGCTGGGTGGGGGGGTTGTCTTAGAGCCAGGGGAGCTTTCACGAAGCTTCTCACAAGGAGGCATCTTCCCCCACTACCAAAACTGCCCCCCCCCACCCCCCCCCCCCCCATTCCACACACACACACAAACCCAACACACCCACCCTTAGTAACCTACCCTTGGCTTGAGTGGAAACCAGTTGATCTGCTTGTTGGATTTATCACTCCAGTCCCAAGTTCCTAAATCCAACTCCACTTCACCAAGAAAGCTATTCCTTCCAAAGGTATCGTTGTGCCAGACAGAGATATTAAGGCTTTGGTTCTTTAGGAGATCCTTCTCGATTTTATACTGCCAGGAAGAAGAAATGAGAAAAAGTTTAAAAAAGCTGGATTTGTCATCAGTGCTGTGTCTGAAAGTGCCAAGGTTAGAGAAGAAGGTGTCCAGGTTTATACATCCATAACTGCTCACTTCTCCATTTCAGAACAAACTCTATTCATGTTTTAATTTTTTTCAAGCATCTTAAGCTCATACTTAGTGTGAGTTTGTTTGCAAGAAGCATACAACAATCCACGTTCTCAATGCTGTATCCAGAGTTAGATACTACTAGAGCTCCTAGATAACTCTGTACAGTTAACCTATCAGTGGAAGGACACAGGTACTTCTATGGAGCAATTCATCTCATTCTAACACAGATGTCTCTTTTGAGACCATCTGGACTTGAGCCCAGGTGCTAAGGTTCCTCATACTTCATGCATGCAGTATTTCATGTCTAGTAATAATTGGATAAATACCCGTAGTATTTCATTATAGACTGGATTAAAAGTTTTCTTTTTCACAGAGGTCTTCCGTTTGCCCAGCTTGTATTTCTCTGGAAGCAGGTAGGTCTTTACATACCTAAAATTTAAACAGGTTGGTAAGAAGAGCAAGGAAACACGCCTTCCAACTTCCCCTTCCAAAATATACAAGTATTTGCTTATAAAGTAAAAGAAATCCACTTAACTAGCCATTATGTTGTTCAGCTTGTAACATTTAAGGAATGGAACAGCAGCGGTGAAGTATAATAGTTCTCAAAGTGGGACATTAGCCACCTCCTACCAGGGGGAAATGTGTTGAAATGCCTCCTCAACACTTAGAAATAGAGAATATTTAACTATAGTACACCTAGATATCATATTTATAGGCTCTAATCCTATTGAAAACGTATCGAAGCAGGATTTACCATCTGGAAAGTTGAATTTTAAAAGAGAATTTAATATACTTAAAAGTTTGAGCATCCCATGTCAATATATGTTCCAATTTATAGGGGCAATTCTACATTCAGTTCATAGTAGAAAACCACATAAAGCACGTTACAGCCTCTTCATTTATTTATTGGGTTGTTCATTCCAACAGGTTATAAAGATTGGGGAAAAAAAAAAAAAAACAGTTTCCATTTACTTATAAAAAGAAAAACTTCCATTAGGAAACAAATATCTTCTCTGTACTTACGGGTCTGAACGCTGTCGCTTAACATCTGCCACTGCCAAGTCTTTACACTGGCAAATAAAAACGTGGAGCTCGTTCAGCTGTTCTACATAATCAATAGCAAATTGAATGTTCCCCTTCACCTCAACATTGCCAAAGTCTGCACTATAGATGCTCATTAAGCTTCCGCTCACCTGTATCATACAAGAGGAGAAAACATTTTCTAGGCACTGCATTTCACCAGATACTTTGAGATTAGGGTAGAAGTTATGCTCAGAATTCAGACAGTAAAGAAATCAACTGTGCCTCTTTAGATGTAATAAAGAAATGTGATAGACACTGTTATACAAGCTTCTCAGCAAGCAGATTAACAAAAGTTATTTGAAAATCAAAGGTGTTAAGCCAAGCTTTCTACAAAAAAAAAATTGAATGTGTTCATTGCATTGAGACAGAAGAAATAAAATGATAAGATGCTGCAGGTCTGGAGATTGCCTGTGATCAGATCTTTGAAATTTTACTTATCTATCTCTTCAGCTGATCTTCCTTTCAGAAAGCAGAGCCTAAGAGTTTAGGACAACAGGCCTTCTGCAAACACCAACAAAAAGATTAGGGATGAAGTCTCTACGGCTGAATTGTGCACCTAAATGTAACACTGACAATTAAACAATACATATGTAGAAAGAGAAGGATGTACAATCTTTTTTTTTTTTTTTATTCTCAATATCCTTCCTCAAAATTCTACTTTTCCCCATAAAGTCCATATAAACTAATGACTTTGGGTTGGCTAGTTCACTGACTTATTACACGCTCCACATACCAATACTGAGGATGTACAATCTAAAATGGTTTGGATTGGAAGGGACCTTAAAGCTCATCCAGTTCCAACCCCCCTGCCATCAGCAGGGACACCTTCCACTAGACCAGGTTGCTCAAAGCCTCATCCAGCCTGGCCTTCAACACTTCCAGGGAGGAGCAGCCACAGCTTCCTTGGGCAACCTACTTCCTTGGGCAACCTAGGAATGAGTTTATTCCTTTCACTTATTTCTCCCTGCTTTCTCCTTTTCCAAATGTTTGTTCTCAATAAATTCTCCCTCCCTTTCAGCTACAGATGTCAGCTTTTAGGGTAAAAGCCATCTTTGTCCAGGGCTTACAGAGTACGCTGCACAGTGGAGTCCTGGACAGGCTCCAATATATTACCAGAAAACAGAAAAAAGGAAAACTGATTTTATATGTTTTAGGCAGTTCCATGCAAGGGTTCACATAACAGAGAGGGAAGGAAGGAGACAGAGATGCCAAGGGAAGAAAGATAAGAGGAATAAGAAAGGAGCTGAAAGAATACTGAAGAGATTAGCAACAGCAAAGTGCCGTCAAAACAAGGCTGTGGTTTACATACAGAGGATAAGGAGGCCATGCCAGAAGAGCCGCTAAGATTGGTTAGAGAGCTGGGACTCTTCTTGATTCTGCCAAGGGAATAACTGCTTTCTGATGCTGTATCTGTCTCTCTCTCATCACTCTACGAAAACATCACAGAAAGAAAGTCTGTCTAGGTTCTTTATAGTCACAAGGAACATTAAAAAAAACAAACAAACAGAATGTTAATGCAGATCGGGACTCAGTGAAAACCTGAATTTAAATGCCCTTGTAGTGCAACATGAGTAATTAGTATTTCTTGAATTAGGTTATGCACTTAAAAAAAAAAGTTGAAAGGGAATTTCTGATGGAAAGCCTACACAGAGCATTTTTAAAGCAGTAACACAATCACATTTTTTGGTTTTAAAGCTCAAATAGCAATGAAAAAATTACAAAGTTAACTTTATTTGGAACAATTAAACTTAACTTCTCTACTTCACTATCTCATGCATAACCTTATGCAAATAGTAACGCTCAGGTCTCTGACCAGCCCCTTTCTGTTACATAGCAAATACTGTCAGTTCTGTACCCTCTGTCCTGGAGGCAGCTAGCTGGAATGTAACATGCACAGTAGAACAGCACTGCATCATAGAATGGTCTGGGTTGGAAGGGACCTTAAAGATCATCCAGTTCCAACCCCCCTGCCACCAGCAGGGACACCTTCCACTAGACCAGGTTGCTCAAAGCCTCATCCAGCCTGGTCTTAAACACTTCCAGGGAGGAGCAGCCACAGCTTCTCTGGGTAACCTGGGCCGGTGTCTCGCCACCCTCACAGGAAAGAATTTCTTCCTCAGATCTCATCTAATCCTACCCGCTTCCACTTTAAAGCCATCACCCCTTGTTCTGTCACTCCCTGCCCTTGTCCAAAGTCCCTCCCCAGCCTTCCTGGAGCCCCTTCAAGTACTGGGAGGCCACTAGAAGGTCTCCCCAGAGCCTTCTCTTCTCCAGGCTGAACAGCCCCAACTCTCTCAGCCTGTCCTCACAGCAGAGGTTCTCCAGCCCTCTAATCATCCTCGTGGCCTCCTCTGGACTCGCTCCAGTAGGTCCATGTCCTTCTTTCTTATGGACCACTGGATATAGTGAATGGCTTTCACAAAAAGCCTTTCTTGGAAATTCAGAAATTTCACTTACATGGACTCAACAGCCAAGTACCTGAACCTACATCCCTAAGCAGAACACCAAGCTAGTACACCTCTGAGAGGGGTTACCAGATGGTGACTTTCTAATGGTTTTACACTTTCATTTTAGATTTTAGGCTCTGAAGAAAATAAATGCATGCACATATGTATGTTCTGAAGAAAAATAAAAAAAGAAGGACGTGTTAGTTTAAGGATAGAGACTGCCTCTGGGAATAACAGCAAGCATTCACTATGCTTCAGTCTCCTAGAAAAAACATGTTCTGTATCTTAAATTGTACAGCAAGAATAAACCTCTCGTTACCAGACTAAAGCTTCTGAAAGGTTAAATCAGCCATAGGTTGTTTGGGATCATCTCCCGACTGTTACACCACAAGCTCATCCCCATACCATGGTCCAATAACAAAGTGACTTGGCAGACCCTGGAAAGCACTACTCGACAAACACAAAATGCCACAGTAATCAGAAGTTTTAGTTACAATAATTCAGAGATGGAACTTGCCTCTTCCTGTAGGAATGATGGTACTGACTTGCTCAGTGCTTTGAGTTTTTCAGGATTGGAAAACAGCTTATCAGGCTGTGAAGGCACTGTGGAAACTGAAGAGCAGCAATTCAAAAGGTTTCAAAAATAAATTTGTACATCAAAACAGTGAGATTCCATAACAGGACATGTTATGGAACATGTTAGAAACAAACAGCTTCGGGTGAAACACATGCACATGCACAACCAGTTTACAACTTTGATGCAAGATTTCCACCCCCCATAGGACTCGGAGAAGCTACCATTAGGAAGTATAATCTACTTTGATCTCTCCTATAACATTGACCACAGAACTTTTTCTGTCAGGTGTAGAACTGTTTACATTGCTTGACATGATGTACAAGCCTGGGTGCTGCAAACAAATTCTGATCAAATGTGATGAAGAAAACATTTCCAGTTTACCTTCTGGGTTTTCTTCCTAGAACAAGGAGAAGTGCACTCATACACTAACCATAACATCAGTGACATTAGAGTCATCATAAGGGTCTTGGTAAGAAGTTAGTTTACAAGCCAAACTCTGTCCTTTCATTTACTCAGTCTAATTAACTGCAATAGGAATATTTGTGTAAATCAAGCAATTTTTAGACCTGAACAAGGAAGTTTCAAGTATTCCTATAAGTAACTATAAGTAATTATAAGGTGCACCTCATTAATGATGCACTTTTTTGCAGGCCATCTCTTCAACTTTTGCATACCTATGCCCTTTTTCTGTACAAAGCTTAATTGTACAAACTAGCTTTGTAAAACTCCAGTTTGCAGTAAACCCACAATTCTCAGAATTTTCCATGCTCTAACCCTACTTATATTTAATAATGCACTAAAGCTCTATAACTTTGGACTGGACACACATTGTGAAATGCACCAATACTGAATTATTGTATGACAGAGAATTATTTGGCATCGAAACACCCAACTACAGGGGCACGTATCTATTGCATAAAATGAAATACTGTGCACAGGATGGGACTGTCTGCAAGGCGTGAGTTAAGCTTTTGCAAAGCTTTTGCTGTTGAAGCTCAAATAGTGCTCAACGTACCAGTTGTTGTCAGTATGCAGTTAGGTGCAATTTCCCCACTGAGTAAGTATTTAGTCCAGATGTATAACTTGTTAGTTGTTAAATAAAAAAGGATTTTTAATGTATTAGTTTAAGTATCAGTGGAGAAGTCTCTCCATTTTCTGCTGGAAGAATCCTATTACTCACTTCCTGCTGTATTTTCATTCCTCTCTTGATGCTGATCAGGTTTCGGACCTGCTCAGTGCAGTATTGACAACAGTCATTCAGTAGCACACACAGCTTTGAAATGTTATAAATAGCATAAGATATATTTTCTATGTCAGAAGTTTTTGACTTCCCCAGCCCCATATGTTTTTGTGTTTTGCATAGCTGTCCTCCGTTGAGGAGCTGGGTGATGACAGAGGTAACATGAGTGTACAAGCTGAGCAAAGCAAAAAGATGAGCAGTATTTTCAAGAGAACTTGTCGTATTCTGTCTGTAAAGCTATCAATTTAGCAGAGTTTGTCATTTTTTCAGAACGTCACTGTTCACAATTTTAACTCAAAAACTTCACCTTTTTCAGACAAGGGTCTACACATTCCATATTGAATAAATAACATGCTTTCAGTAGGGGTCTCCATTTGAAAGCTAAGTACTTAAGTCTTGTTAATTTTCTGTACATTGCGTGCACCCTATTACACCATGATCATACTATTATGCTATAGGCCACTAAAATACAAAATGCTTTAAAGTATCTAAAACATGACATTCTATGCAACTTTGTACAACTATTTTTTTTTTAAACTGCAGTGCCACAATGCAGTAAATAAAGAATTGTGTGTTATATTCCAACATATTCAATGTTATTTGATTGTTTTCTATTGTGTTCATCTTGACATGTTCTGGGAGCGGATTTGCTTTCATTTTGCTTAGATTTGGAATTTCTAAAGGTATCTAGAAAAATTTCACAGCAAGGCGTCTGTAATGGACTAATGACATCAACAGTAGGTGATCTAGCAGTTCATCTGTTGCTTAGAGTAATTCTACTTTGCTGCACTGAGATACTGATTGTAAGAGAGGTTCCTTTTCAACTGATGTATTCTGAAGGGTGTTTTGCACTAGCAAAAGCCATGTTGCACCTTATAATGCAACACATGAACAGACAAATTCAATATTTACTTAGGCCAAGTCTTTCAACTGAGCTAATTTTCAAAGCTTTTGGTGATTTCAGTAACACTTTCACAGGCTGAATGACCAAAGGCCAAAACAGTACACTGGTAAGCGGCACAGAGTTTCTACAGGCCATAGCATAAGTATATTCCTTAGGAATAAAACAACACAACATAAATCTATAAAAGCATTTCAGTCATACTGAAGTTAATCAAATCTAAAAGTGCAACACAATTGTTAGTTTTAAAAAACCCTATTGAAAAAACAATAAACTTCCATGCAGACACAAGAGATATTTACCATCTTCAGCACTAAGAGCTAATTCTTCCTTTGGATTATTTATTTTTCCTTTATCTGTGCAGGAAAAAAGTAACACATGGTTAGAAATTCTGCTGTTCAGTATGATAAAATGGATGTCAGTGGTAATCGCAGAATGAAGAGTAATGAGGAGAAAAAAAAACCCCAAACAAACCAGCAGAGCCATGGGAATGGTTAAATTCAAGGGATGCTTTCTACTTTACACACTATTTCCAGCCTACATCCAAGCAGCAGTCTCGTGTTGAGCCAGTTTCTATCAGTGTGCTGTTGCACGATGTTAGTGCACACCTAAAACCTAGAAATGAGTTAGAAGCCAGCAATAGCATAAGTAGCATTAGAAGAGTTGTTTGCCAACAGTAGCCAACATCTTTCAAAACCTACACCTCCACACTTCAGTTTACAAATGTAAGTTCAGTTTATGTCTCCCCCATTAGACATGAGATAAGTATGAAAACACTTAGGGAAGGGAGACAGGAATAATAATTTAAAGAAAAAAAATCCTAGGAGGCTACAGAGGGAAGCTAGGAATGAATTTTAAGTACAATGCTGTCTCACTGTATTCTCTTAGTGTGAGTTTGGTATATTAACTGCCAGAATACACAGGTGAAACTACTAAATTAAGATGATTTTTTTCATACTTACACTGTCTACTAATTTGACCCAACCAAGCAGCCAGGAGACAACAGCAGTTATTGCTCATTATTGATTTGGGTAGTTGCCAATATTTTCACTATTGAAAAACTATCCAAGAAACAGTTCATCACTGATTAACACAGTGCATTTTTGGAAGATGTCTGCTTCATAGAACATTTTTGTGTCAAAATTCACACAAAGAACTGAAAACTAAACCGTATGAGAAAATAATTCAGTTCTACAGTAGAAGATCCATACGGCTTATTGGGAAACAAAGACAAACACACTACTTGGCAAAGCTGTATAGGAGACCAGTGTGAACAAGTTTAAGCCAAACTGGGGGTCATGGGAGACACACACAAGCTTTGTGCTCACTTGAGGTGGCTGACGGAATGTCCTCTAGACTTTTGGAAGGCATTTTCCTATCTGCACTCCTTTTCAAAGCCATCAAAACAGGGTTTAATTCTTCTTCTGAACCTGTTACGAGACAAAACACATGAACACTGCACACACAGACATGTCATTTTAAGCAAGTCACTAAAAAAAACCCATGGATTTCTCAGGAGAATCTATTTTGACTGTTACCAAAGACAGTGAACATTCAATGAAAATACAAAATAAATCCAAAAGAAACAAAATAAATGTCTAATTTTAAGTGTCCATTTGCTCCCTGTAAATTCTCTCAGCCATCAGTAGAGAGGCAGGTTGGCTTTGGATTTGCCCTGTGTAGGTACCTCTCTCTGTACCGAGTAATAAGGGGGTTTCAGGCAATTATGGCACTTAATTGTCCAAGAACAATACATGATAAACTCAGAGTTTAGCCATTTTGTAACCTTGTTATGAATCAGCAGAAAAAAAATAATAGCTTTAGTTCTTCCCTCTGTGTAAATTTGTCCGTTATATTTTTCTCCCCAGTTAAAATAATTTTGTTTCAATACTTGAGTAAGAACCACACAAAAAAACCCCAACCAAACAAACAAAAAACCAGCTGTGGAGATATTTGGGTCTCTGAAATTATGCAATTGTCTCTAAGGGCAGAATCAAGACAGACCTAGCTCCTTCAGAAACTTTTAAGACCCTCTTTCCTCCCTACCTCACTTTCCTCCCCATTAGCCAACCAACCAGGCCATACAGTTTTGCTGTCTGTCATTATGGGTAAAAACAAATTGTTTTGTTTTTCTTCATTTGTCTTGAGTTTTCACTGATTTCCATTGGAATCTCACTTTCAAAACAAGCTCAAGAGTAAGTTGGCAGGCCCTGAAAACTTTATATATTTCTCAGATTCTCCAGGTGAAGAAAACATTCCCAGTCTCTTAGCAGCAGATTAAAAAGGTTAAATTATCTCCTCTACCTTCAGCTCTTCAATGACTGTCACACACTATACATTGACTAGAGCTGCCATTCAACCAAATAATGAGAATCCTAATAAAGAGGATTCATTTATATGGCCACTTTCTTGGGTAACAGGCAGCAATGCTAAATGAAATAGCACAGAGTATTGATATTGTCTTTATATCCAGCCATTCCACGGACAAGTATTTACCTTTGAAGACTAGCTGCTCAATCTAAAGAATGAACTCAGTCAGCCACTGATATTTTTTTTTCCTCTCTTTTAATCCATTTAAAAGAAATACCAGATTTTGAGTGTTACAATGTTATTAATTTGAGGGCAATATCACGGGGAGGAAGGAAAGGGTAAATCATGAAGACTGATGCATTTGATTGATGCTGCTAAACTCCCCTTACCAAAAAGGGCTTACCCAAATGTAGTACGTGTTTGTCAAACACTTGTCAATTAAAGGACTTAATTAGTTCCTCTCATCTTTCCCAAACAAATATCCAAAGCATTTAATTAAGAAATAAGTATCCAATAGACTTTTGGTTAATGTATTTCAAGTTGGCTACCAAAAAAAAATTGTAGCCACGTTTAACAACCCAGCACCATGAAGTTTAGAAATCAAACAGCTCACGAGTTGAACTTCCGGTTGCAGAGTGGGAATCAGAGTTTTCATCTGAAAACTTGGATCCCAAATTTGAACTGTCCCCTTCCTCTTCATCATTATCCTCATGCTGAGACATTGGGCAGAGTTGATCTCCTGGCTGAGGGGAGTTGCTCTCATCTTTAAGTGGTGTGCTTGTTCTTCTGAATTTCAAGAGTGCTTTAAATTCTGAATTCTTTTCAGAGGCATCCAAGGATACGCTTTCATTTCTCCTTCCTTTTTCGTTTATCTTGAATGGCTTGACTGCAGTCATATTGGTCTCTCCTTCCAAAGGAGGAAGATCAACTGGAGCCATGTTTCTCTTTTCTATTTTATTAATAGCTCCATTTGTTTTAGGAAGATCAGAAGCTTCAATTTCACTTACCGAAAGATCATTTACAGAAGCTCTGATATTTTGTTCTGGAACTTCCCCTTTGATAATTATCTTCATCTGTGTATGACAGCTACTTAAAGCATTATGTGGGTGTGACATTGTCATGAATGGAGTCTCTTTTTGTGATGGAAACATCTGATCCCCAAACTTTTCTTGTTTATGTAACTCTTTAGATATTGGACATGAATCTCCATATGCTTCTTGAAGAAGTTTTTCTAAAGAGCAATTGAATTCACTGAATTTTGCAATATTTGAGATGGAAGTTTTTTCTATTGTTTCTTGTATTTCTTGAGGATGATCTCTCACTTCTTGTGGAGCATGCATTATTAGACTAGTCTGTGTTTTACCTTGCATTTCCTTATCCATATTTTCCAGCACAGAAGCAGGTGTTTCAGAGACCTCATTTGGTAGCTTCTGCAAATTAACATCAATTCTACCATATTCAGCCTTGGACAATGCAGATCTTCCTATGGTCTCACTGATTTCCTGTGGCTGTTCTCCATCGTGCTCATGGGTCGTGCTTTTAACTTCCATCTCAGTAGCTCTCCATAGTGTTCTGTCGGCACGTTCTGGTTTAGGAGGTGGCGTTTCAGAGGCCTCCTTCAGCAACTTCTCTAAAGCAGAACTCAAGCCACTGGCCTTGGACGGGGCAATAGACTTTTCTATGGTCTCACTGATTTCTTGTGGCTGCTCTCCACCATGCTCATACATCATGCTTTCAACTTCCACCTCTGCAGTTCTCCGTACTGTGCTGTTGGCACATTTTGGTTTAGGAGGTGGCGTTTCAGAGGTCTCTTTCAGCAGCTTCTCTAAAGCAGAACTCAAGCCACTGACCTTGGATGGAGCAACAGACTTTTCTATAGTCTCACTGATTTCCTGTGGCTGCTCTCCATCGTGCTCATGGGTCGTGCTTCTGACTTTCATCTCTCCAGTTCTCTTTATTGGGCTGTCAGCATGTTTTGGTTTAGGAGGTGGTGTTTCAGAGGCCTCCTTCAGCAGCTTCTCTAAAGCAGAACTCAAGCCACTGGTCTT